AAAGGCCATTGAGCATGGTCAATTGTTTTATGAATGTGCATATCTATAACATATCTTGCCCTGTCAGTCACTTTTTCCAGTACTTCCAATGCTATAGTTTCTAAGAACTATCGACACGTCAGATTGTTGAAATCTGGCCCACGGGCCGCATGTTTGACACCCCTAGTGTATAGGAACGCAAAATATCGTATTTATTATATAAATGACTGTATTTCTATATTTATATATTATCATAGCGGGTGACCTGACAAATATTTATTCTACATTCCTAAAGACAACTGATGATTTACCACGATGTAATAGCGCTCTGAAATGACTAATGTAATGATGCATGAAAGATTCGCTGAAGTGTTTTCAACGCCATTTCTTCTGATCAGTGAAGTGAGAATGACTATATGGGATATAATAAAATGACTTGTCTAATAACATCCAAGATAATTGAGTATACATGTATATGAAGAGTTGTTTTGAACACCTAGTTGAACAAATTGTTGTAGTTGACAAGTAGTGTGTGTTGTATTTGACTGATGTTTGAAGGGTCATGAGAACAGAATCATAAAGTACATCACATGTCCGGCTTAACGGTCAAATAATGGCCTAAATTCGTCCCCCAGGGCTCTTTTCTATCTATTGTTAAAATGACCCTTTTTATGATCTTCTTATCGACCTTGCCCATAGGCTCCATTGGATTATGACCGTTATCTTCAAAGGGCGTGTGATTGGAAGTAAGTTATCGTATCGTAGATTTATGCCCCTGGTGGATTTTTGAAATGAATTCCCTTTAATGGGATATAATTAACATTTGTACCCAGCACGCAGATGATAATAACCTGTCTGTTATATAATAACGTGTTTATAACTTGACTGAATGTGCTTAAATGAGACCCAAATGCCGCCCTTTATTCTATCCTCCATAATCAGAAACACACGGCAATATATACTTGCATCAAATATACGTTGTGTGTCAATTGTAGTAAATTTATTTCTGAACCAAATAAATACATTTTCCGAATATTTCTTACACTATTTGATATATTGTCTGATATTATCGTCGTACAGGAGGTCATAAATCAAAATATATCTGTATCAAATATGACCTGTTCTATCATATTAATCATGATGTGTCAGTACTTTAATACTCTATTTTGGGAAGAAAGGCGTTATTTTATCTACTCCTTTTTCGTTACGGGGGGTTGGATGGCTGAATGGTTAGCGTGCGCGCGCTGTATCATAAAGTCTGTCATTGAGTCGACTGGCGTGGTTTCGAATCCCCGGTTGTACGTGGCAAGGAGTAGGGTCGCCTGTCCAACCTCGTGGGTTTTCTCCGGGGCCTTCGGTTTCCTCCCACTGCTAAAGACCCCTACGCGCAAGCGAATTATGTAAATAAAAATTAAACCATATGTTAGTCCCGAAATGACCTAGTTTGTGTCGAGTGGACGTTAAACCCCATTTCTCTCTCTCTCTCCCCTTTTTCGTTACAATTCCTGATTTCAGAAAAATGCTATATTCATGGCCAGTGGCGTATGGAACGGGTGGGGATGTCACAGTGCCCCTCACTCCTTAATATTTGTAAGACCCCAAATTCGAGCAAGGGGGTCACATAAATACGGGCAATCGTTCCACTTCTATATCTATTCCATTTTCACAAATTTAGGGGAAATCTCAGACAAGAATCTGCAAGACTAATATTCCGATATATATTTAATATTAACATTAATCGAGGGTTACTTTTTGTCATATTGGGCTACATCGGTGTCTGGTGTTATTAGCGAAAAAAAAGAGAACTTTTGGAATCCGTATCGGTGCCCCACCCCACCCCTGAAATAAAAAAACCCTGCCCGCCTATGTTCTGGCGTTGCAAATGTTACAAAGCACATTGGATGTTATCAAGTAAAATGAACTTTGACTAAACAGAAACCTTAAAATATTTAAAGAATTTAAAAGTGAGACAAAATGTTTGGGTACTAAGGATAACGATTTACCTTTGAGACATTTTAAAAAAACATAGCCAACTAAACGAGCAGATGAACACCTGAGAAAATAAGCTTTTTATTATTATTTGGTCTTAAGCTAACCTTAACGCCCATTTTCAATCAGATAGAAAACAAATGAATGGATCCGGCTATACAACACGCGTGACCATCGTGTCACGAAGGTCTCTGAAAGTGGTTAATTGAATGTTTTTGTTCTCAACTTTGTGAAACACCTAGCCAAAAATCTCTCAAGTGTCCCCTACGTAATTAATGTCTGAATAGTAGTCAGTCATGTCTACTCATGCGTCGAGAATCAAAGTCGTCAATTTGGTAGTCACATTTCACCGACCTAAGTGAGGTGGGGATGCATTTCTTTGGAATGTTTTTGTCATTTTGTCAGTGAACTGTTAAATCTTAGACCTACTTTTATAGAATGTTAATCTTTTTATAAAGGTCATACGCGTAACGCGTTGGTTGGTCTTCTCCACTTACTCAATAAATCAGAAAGGTTCCGGGGAGAGTAGACATACATGTACCCTGCCTCATGCACGATACTTTGTATTGTTGATAAGGTTTTTGGCCGTAGACGACAATCTCTGACCCGGAGGAAGGCATTTTAAGAATGTTTGGAGCCCTTTCAAAGAAATACTAATACATGCGTATACGATGAGATATTTTATTTATATGAAAACGTCTATACAAGGGGTGGCGTTCAGTTTATTTTATATTATATGAAAACATAAGAAAAAGAAATAAAAAACAAAACATGAGACAAAACGAACATAATAAACATATGTATGAATCATTCAAGAAATATTATTAAATTCATTAGCTCGTGATATACCGTTCTGTGTATCGGTTACGTTTATTATGAAGACATGCAGAAATTTGCGCATTCGGGACCGTACGTGATATCCCTGACTATATGGTAACGTTTAGCAAAAACATGACACAAACAAAAGTGGTTATATTTTATATAATCTAGGTTTATCTAGTTATTTTTGGTTGATGGAATGTGCTATGCTCCAGTCATTCTTCAGATTGCGGGTCTTTTCACACGGTAGATAAAATCTCATCTAGTTATGTCATTATGCTGAAACTGAATTGCACAACATTTATTAAGGTGACTTTTTGAGTGAGGTGAAGCAAAACCCAATATCTCTTTAAGGATATTAAATTACACATATTACAAATATTCATAATATTTGTGAGGTGGGCCTTATTTCATAATACACCTATATGCAAATGAGTCATAGAACACACTGCTGTAATTAATCTGACTTTTTGGATACTTATTCGATTATCTAAAAGATTGAAGTCTTTAAAGTCGTAGGGTTGGCACAAACTCCAGCGGCATTCTGCACACAGGATAGATCTCTGCCCTATAAATGGCCGCCATATACATATATTAGTATACTGTTTTGTAATGCGTGTCATACACACAGCGACTAAATAAATGTTTTCAATTTTTTTAATTGGAAGCAGAATAAATTCTCGAAGTATACTTAGTGTTTTCGACTAAAATTGTCGATTTTAAGGACTGAAAATGTTGTTCAACCAGCTTAGTGTCTCTTCTCAAGCGACGCTAACTGTAGACAGACACCCTAAGTTTGGTATGCTCCAATGGTAGGCCTACGCCTACACGCGGCCTTTTCCAGAATAACATAATTATTTGTGTTTATTTCAGCTATTTGGAGAATGAAATGAAATGGGTTTAACGTCCTACTTTTCTGCTCCGACTGGGCTAATGAAGACGGACATACGCCATACAGTGTGCTATGAGGGAAATTTTGCCCGGGCAGCGGCACTATGGCCTACTCTTGTATCGAATTCCAACTGCAAAGGGATTTTTTACGTGCACGCCAATGTATACACGGGACCTCGGTTTTTCGTCTTATCCGAACGACTAGACAGCTGTACTTTTACTTTCATTGGATTTTTATAACAATCTACTTTTTGTAACAGTTTACTTTGCAACTGCTATCATGTGGATATTACTAAGTAGGAGGTGTGAGGGTAGGGGGTCACTCTTAAGTACCCATTGCCCTGATGCTCTGTCTACAAGTCACTTCTTGTTTGATTTTAAATTTGTCTGAAATTAACATGAACCTTTTAATGGTAAGAATAAAGAGTCTGTCAACATTGATGTGACATAAAGATTAATACTACATATATATGAGTATATATATATAAATAACAGATTCCAGATTTTGGATGTGTGACATTTTGAGATTGAATCGCGACAATTGTAGTATATAATAATAAAACAGTCATTTGACCCCTTTCATTGCCTTTTTTGCGTATCATGACACATCAAAAACTGTCTACAATATGGTGATGATATCCAGCTGTCATACTGTGACAGTCCAGGGACACACTTCAGAGTAAACCACTCATTCTTAGTTTTTATTAGACTTGCCATACCGATAATAACATATTTTGGTGACACGTAAATTTATAATTATATGCACACAAATTTTTTGAATTTTAAAGCACATTCCCGGAAAATATTTTAACACATTATTTAAATACAACGTTACAATTTTACTGTGCTTTTTAATACAACTTTTGTAGTCAGGACATTTTTTAGTATAGTAAGTAGTGGGGCACCCACAGCTGAAAAAAATTGCCCTATTGCTTTGTTAATAAAATAACGAAGCAATACTGATGATTTCAACTGAAACTCAAGAGCTTTTGGTACTGATTGAGAAATGGAAAGTAGCATATTTCCCGTACATATTATACCATTACCTAGATAAAGGCACCCAATCGTAGCTAAAAACAATTAAGCACATCAGTATAGCTCAACGTTTTTAGCTACGTTCTCGTTCTCGTAGCTATTCATTCCCATCCACAATCTCAATTAAGGACAAGAATTGCCGATATTCTAAATGTTTATTGTGCATTGGGGACAGAGACACCCTTCCCGAATCCCCCTGTGACCAAAAAGCTGTCCTGGAACTAGTATTTAATGTTTTAGTATGTTTTTGAATAAATTATAAATATCCATCATTTTTATATTTACAGCGAGAAATACCTGTTGATTGTCCTGCTGGTTGGGATGCTATAGATGCTGTTTGTTATAAATTATTTACCGATCCTGTACCATATGATAGTGCTCATAAAGTCTGCCAAACGTAAGTTAAAAAACGAAATACGTCCTACTTTCCTGCATCATCTGGGCTACTGAAGACGCGGGCATACGCCGAGATAAGGTATTGGAACCCCATATCTCGACATCAGGGATATATATAGTTCAGCTCTGAACGTAGGTCTCATTACACTCGGCTATGGCTCATTGGAACAACCAACTTGACGTTGTTCCTGGCAGGATGCCCAGTCTTCTGTTCTCGAAAAGCAAGGTCCAATTCAAAAAGCGTTTGACTATATAGTAGAGCAATTGTTTCGATAGGTGGGACTTGAAATCTGATAATTGACCCCCATTGAGCTTCCGGTTTATATTTCAGGTATGGATCTGAGTTAGTACGTCCTAAAGACTACTATAACAATGATGATATTGGCAAATATGCTGAAACCATGGGTGGTAGTGATTTCTGGATTGGTAAGCATATTAATTACTATATTACAAATAACAATATTTTACATGTTACATGTATGTTCGTGTTGTGATCAGTAAAATTATAATTCTGAACTTTTTTAAAAACCCTTTTCGCATACTGTTAACTCTGATTTCTTAGAGAACTATAATGGTGTTTTAATTTTGCTAACCTACTGTTTCATCATGCAGATTTCTTAGAGATTAACGGCGTTTTGATATTGCTAACATTTTTATTTTGATTTTGTTTGTATTTATTTGCTTTTAACATAATCTTGAATTAAATGTATTATTATCATAGGCTACATTTACATAAACCTCACGACTCCTGATACTGGTAAGACAAATAACTAGCTAAAAAAAATATACATGCTATAGCAATCTATCTAGGCTAGACATATCATATTTTTATATCTTTATATTTATGTATTGTTATAAGGGTTTGTATGTAATGTCCCAGCCATCCAATGGTCTAGAGAGATGATTATGGGCTTGTCATGGGAATATATGTCTAAATAGTAATTTATACAACATTTAGCTCTTTCATAATGCATCTTTATACCCAGTCGATATTATGACTTCTAGAATAAACACAAACTTTATCACCTTACACAGTGCTTTCAGAGCCCAGAGGTCTTGATTTCCTCCGGGAATTGCTGATGCTTGTATTTGTATTTATTATTACAATATATACCCACTTAATTATCATATAGAAATTATATTGAACCCACTCTGTACTATGAAGTTTTAGAATAGACACAAAATATACATGTATAGCATAGTTTAGAAGAAGCACTTGTAGATTAGGTCACACCCATTTGATATTCTATTCTTTGGGGTCTAGGGGGTTGGGTGGCCGAATGGTTAGAGCGTGCACGTAGGGTCACCTGTCCAACCTCGGGTTCCTCGGGTCACCAAGTTTCCTCCCACAGCTAAAGACCCCTACATGCAATCAAATTGAACCATATGTTAGTGTGGAGTGGATGTTAAACCCCCCCTCTCTCTCTCTCTCTCTCTCTCTCTCTCTCTCTCTGGAGGCTTGATAGATAAATAGCCACAAATGAATGGACACTTTTCCTTTCTAGAACTTCCATACTGCACATGAAGCTTCATAAAATGAATTGATATGTAAACAAATTTTTTACTCTACTCATTTAAGAATTAAAATGTATGATGCATGAATGAGCAAGTCCCTAGAAGTTATTCTGTAGTTTCATACAAAATAAATTAACGATAGCATTTTCCTTATAATAATTTAGCCAATGGTTTTTCTTGTTTCCAGGAGCCAATCGAATGGGAATCAGTCCAGGAACCCTGGATAATATTAATTACGGTCAGTCAGTCATTAAAACTACTAATGTTGGTTATTGGGCTGACTACCAACCGGATATCAAAAAGGGAGAATGTGTTTATGTTACAAAAGCTGATGATCGGTTTAAATGGAGTTTCGGTCCTTGTGAGAAAAAGGTTCAGTATGTTTGTTCCAGACCAGCCTGTTCTCAAGGTAGTTTAATCATTCTTTATATTCCTGGATCTTCTTTTAATGTATCTGTTCATCAGATCCTGGATAAAAAGTTTAATATTTGTGTTATTAGATAAGAAAGCTCAGAGAAAATGTGTTTATTAGACCCTGGTTAAATAAGTATAGGACTTTTAAATTAAAAAGCTCAAAGAAAACTTTTTAAAAGCCTGGTTTCCAATTTGGAATTAAAGGTTTTTTACTTGAATTGTATCTGTGATGTTTCTGTTACAGGAAGTTTTCATTGTGTAAATCAGAAATGTTTAAACCAGTCATTAACATGTGACGGTGAAGATGATTGTGGTGATATGTCAGACGAACAAAACTGCGGTAAGTTTTCTATTGTTCAAGACAAAAAATATTCATATTAAAACCAATAGGGATTTAGAAGAAAATTTAATATAATGTTTAATAATATGAACGACTCTTAAATTGAATCTTCAATTATCTAACTCTAAATCCCAGCAGTGGGTTCGTAGATTTATTGAATTCAAAACTCATGGTTTTTTTTAACGATCAGTGTGGATTCCTAAAGGGAAAAATATATGTAACCAGTAAAAAATCTTTTCAGCACAGGATTTTATACATTTATAAAGTTCTATATGTTTTTTTTTCTCTCTGCAGCTGATCGATGTGGAACTGTCTTTAAGCAAGCATCTGGGAACATCATGTCTAAAAACTTCCCTAGTCCTTATCAAATGAATACAAATTGTTTATGGTTGGTTGAAGTGCCACTAGGCTCTAACGCACATATCAAGGTATGTTCTTTATTTTTGTGACCTTTTTATTACCGGTATTGCTTATAGGTAATTTGCGCATGTTCACATTTTTCAAAAGTTTTAACAATGAAACAAGTAGATGTAGTTGAGTTATTTTACCATTTAACATGGTATTTATCTTCACATAAACGTCTTTACATAATTTTTTGTAACAATATATTTTCGGAGGTCAGTGGGTAGCCGAATGATCTATTGTGTGACAATTTAAGGCAAGTAGGGTCACCTACCTATCCTCATGGGTTTTCTTCTGATCCCCCAGTTTCCTCTCACTGCCAAAGACCCATACACACAAACTTATTATTGAAATGAAGTTGTACTTTATTTTAGTCCCAAAATAAGTTTGAGATAGTAAATATAATCTACTTTCATTTTTACAGTTTACAGATTTTATGACAGAAGAAGGATTAGACATTGTGAGAATTTATGTTGGTGGCAAAACAGAATCTATGTCCCATCACGTTGCAACCCTTTCTGGAAATATGAGTGCCAATTTACCTGAATTCACCAGTTCCAATAATTTCATGCTGATCAAATTTTCTTCAGATTCCTCAGTAGAAAAAATGGGATTCAAAGCAGAATTCTCAGCAAGTAGGTTCTACATGTTTTTGAATTGCTTTCTTTTGAAATATTGACAAAGAGGATGCACCAATAGGCAATGCTGTGATTTGTTCTTTTGTATATATGCTTAATGCAGTTTATATCTTGTGATTTCAGAAAAATTTGATTTTCAATTAAGAAAAATGTTAACAGCTACCATGGATTACCAGGTTCTCACTCCTCCTTCTTATCCTGCTAATTATCTTGGTAGTCAAGATTATACATGGATCATAGAAGCTTCACCAAAGAACCAACTTATTACTCTAGAAGTAAGTGCCAGTTAAACTAAAATTCCCAAAGAGAAATGAGAATAAAGTTGGTGGATCATGATGGAAAAGAAAAATATCTTTAGATAATTGCATGTTAAATATCTTAAATGTTTAATATTAGTACAGTTCTTTCATATTTTTATATATGGTCTACTTGTACACAATGTAAATTGGTTTGTTATCCCACACTGAACAGAGTTAGGAAGGGATATTGAAATGGGCTCCGTCTGTCTGTCCATCCGTCCCGATTTTGTTTCTGGAGCATATCTCATAAACCATTCAAGATATCTTCATGAAACTTTGTATAAACATCAATCTATTCTAGTAATTGTGCCTTTTGTTAATTTGGGATATCTCGGATTCAATCGCTTTAGTGTTTCCATGGAAACAAATTTCTGATGACCGTCCTTCCATCCCGATTTCCTTTGCGGAGTATATTTAATTATCCATTCAAGAAATCTGTTTGGAACTTTGTACAAACATCAGCCTATTATAGTATTTTCTTTTCTGATGTATAAGCTTGTTGTTTAACATAGAGCAGCTGATTGAGGTAGGCAAAGGGTGTTGTGCAAACCTTACAGGGAGTAGTGACTGTGCCTTGCCGAGATACTATGATCAGATTATGAATCTTCTGACTAGTCCCATTGATATTCCAATATGTTGTTTTTCCTTATGTCTTCCCAACTAGTGCAAAGAAGCAGGTTGGTGATGACTAGTCATCTTGTTTGAATTAATAATATATCACACAAAAAGTTACCAAAGTTGTTTTTTATGAACTTTAGATTTTTTTAATAAAATGATAGAAGAAGTAGATTTATGTGGATCTAATATAGTTATTATTAGTTACAAACTTTGTAAAAATATTAATTTTGTTTATTTTAGATTGGGGAAGTAGATTTAAGAGGATCTGATATGGTTTTTATTCGTGATGGTGATATGGTCTTCCATAAACAACTTCTAAAATTAGACTCCACCAATATGATTTCACCGAAATTCATCTTTTCATCTGGTTATCAAATATATATTACCATGCAAACTCGTGGTTATGATACAGGCAAAGGATTTATGTTGAAATATAAACAAGGTAAGTGTAATTTGTAAAAAATTTCATAATACATGTAGTATTTAATGAAAACCTAGAATACTATAGCTAGCTAAACAGTTATTGAAAACCTTTTTGACGGCTAGTTATAAACAGTTAATGAAACCTAGGTGACTAGCTAGATAAACAGTTAATGAAAATCTAGGTCGCTAGCTAAAAAAAAACAGGTAGTGAAAAACCTAGGTGGTTAGCTAGATAAAAGTTTAATGAATCCTTGATTGCTGACCAGATAAACACTTAATGAAAACCTAGATGGCTAGCTAGTAACATGCTTTTCTTTATTTTTTAGGATGTTCCATTGAATTTGTTGCTAGCCAAGGAGAAATTTCTACTCCTGGTTTCATCAACTCAAAATATCCAAACAACGTCAAATGTGATTACATCATAAAAGAAACAAATGGTCAACCAATGACCTTATCATTTGATGAGTTTACAACTAAAGCTGAAGACACGTTAAAGGTAGGCTTTGATATTTTTCATTTGATTTGATTTTAATTGGGTACCCAAGAGACAACATAACCCCATGAATAATAAACTACAATTTCAAAGGGAAATCACAGTGGTGCAGTGAGTAACATGCTGGCCCACTAAACAGGAGGTCATTGGTTTCGATGCCGGTGTTGGTTTCCCATTAATTATCAGTGGTTCAGAATGTCTAGTTGTTCATATGGGATGAACAAACAAAGTTCTGTATACACATTTTTGTGCACGTAAGAAATCCTTTGCAGTTGGAATTTGAGAAGAGTAGGTGGGAACGGGAGCAAACTGTCTTCATCAGTCCATTTGGGGTATAAAATTAGGTAGTTACTGTATACCATAAATAAAGATAGGGTAATGTTCTCTATTACTCCTCACATTTCTAATTTATTTCATTTAACCAGGTATATAGAGGAATGAATGAATCTGGAATTTTAGTAGACACATTCAAAGGTGATGTTGTACCAAGTAACATCTTGGCAGCAAATGGCATGTTATTTTTGAAATTTGAAGCTGATGGAACTGGAACCGAGAAGGGTTTTCGCGCCACCTTTTCAGTCGGTAAGTTTTCTGAAATCTCTTTCCTTAGAAAAAATTAGAAAAACATCAAAAAACGAAATCAGAATTTTGACAATTGTCAGCTTTTAATTATTAATAATGTCTGTTTTGTATTTTATTCAGATTGTCCTGCACCAGATTTTAATGAAAATACCATTACTGACCCTATCAACCCATCTAACAGCCCAGATAGTCGTATAATGGTTTCCTGTAAAACTGGCTACCATTTCGCAGCAGAAGAATTTCGTGATACAGCTGTAACAGATAGATTTGTCAGTAAAACATCAGTAACTATGGTTTGCAGTAAAGGTGGAAAATGGAGCACTCTCAGAATCCCAATGTGTGAACGTAAGTATCATTGTAACTTTATTCTGCAACAATAGCGTTCAATATTATGTTATTAATATGTCAAATTCACCAGGATATTTCACCATTCTATTTGTTTGTACTTCAAAGATGTCTAGTGAGAGAAACCCCTTATCTGAGAAACGGCACAACAGGGATTATTTTATTATTTGTTTTGAATATCCAGCATATCTGTCTTCCAAAATGACCTTTTCTATACCTGAAGGATAGCCAGGGTGACTAGCCCAGCTTAAATGAGCCATATGCTAGCCTGTTATTTCAGAAAGAGAGCACCATGTAATGCACAACAATTTTTTTTTTACCTGTTTTAAAAATGAATGATATATGGTTTATTCGAAATTTAAAACTAAATATTTTTTGTAAGATAAATGTATATGTCACATGACATATACCGGTACCACGGCCACACACCAGTTTTACATGAATCATACCAGTATACCACATGATACATACCACTTTGTCACATGATACATACCAGTATACCACATAATACATACCAGTATACCACATAATACATAGCACTAGGTCACATGGTACATACCAATATACCACATAATTCATACCACTATGTCACATGGTACATACCAATATACCACATAATTCATACCACTATGTCACATGGTACATACCAGTATACCACATAATACATACCACTATGACACATGATACATACCACTTTGTCACATGATACATACCAGTATACCACATAATACATAGCACTAGGTCACATGGTACATACCAATATACCACATAATTCATACCACTATGTCACATGGTACATACCAATATACCACATAATTCATACCAATATGTCACATGGTACATACCAGTATACCACATAATACAAGCCACTATGTCACATGATACATACCACTTTGTCACATGATACATACCAGTATACCACATAATACATAGCAATAGGTCACATGGTACATACCAATATACCACATAATTCATACCACTATGTCACATGGTACATACCAATATACCACATAATTCATACCACTATGTCACATGGTACATACCAGTATACCACATAATACATACCACTATGTCACATGATACATACCACTATGTCACATGATACATACCAGTATACCACATAATACATACCAGTATACCACATAATACATAGCACTAGGTCACATGGTACATACCAATATACCACATAATTCATACCACTTTGTCACATGATACATACCAAGTGTTTTGACTCATTTACTCAGAGCCAATCATTTTTTTATGAGTATTAAAACAAGTCTAATAAACAAGATTGGAATTCTTTCTATTACAGCTCTGTACTGTGGTCAAGCACCATCAATTAGCAGTGGTTATATCTCCAGTGCCACTGGAGCTACTGTAGGTCATAATGTCACCTATGCCTGCTATAATGGTTATAATTTTGCTAACCCGAACACAGCCACGATTTCATGTAAAGTAGATGGAACATGGGAATCGGCACCAATTTGTCAAGGTAAGATCATATTGACCAAACAAATTTTTTTCTATTCTTTGGAATCTTGATGAATAAAATGGCGACATGAAATTATGTTTTGTTTAAAATTTATCACCTTGTAAAATGGGAACTAAAAGCTTACAATACAACAAGTACTTATTGATTTTTAATATATTTTTTACCCAAAGAAATAAGAAAGAAATTTTTTATTGGTGTTCCCAAAGAATGGAAAAACATACGTGCATATATCTCATATGAGAGGGTTGGTTAAGTAAAGTATTGTAGTTTTGGTCCCAACCCTCGCCCTGCTCATCCTGTTGGGTTTGCTCCAAGTCTTGTGTTGTTTTTTCACTGCTAAAGACCCCTACATGCAAGCAAATTATTGAAAGAATAGAAAAACATACGAGCATATATATCTCATATGAGAGGGTTGGTTAGGTGAAGTATTTTGGTTTTGGTCCCAACCCTTACCTGCTCATCCTGATGGGTTTACTCCAAGTCTTGTGGTGTCTTTTCACTGCTAAGGACCCCAACATGTAGGCAAATGATTGAAAAGAAAAAAATGTGTACCGTATGATAGTCCCAAAATAACGTAGTTTATATAGAGTGGACGTTAAAGCCCAATTACCCTTCTCTCTCATACATCACAGAGATGAAACCATTCAACACCTGCAAAAGACCTTTTCATTTTTAAACATTAATGGTTTGTATTGTTTTTTTAACTGTCATTATCATGTTTTATTTTAATTAGGAGCAACATGTCCTTCATTGCCATCAACATCAAATTTTGTGCAGAGAAGTCAAACCGGTACAAATAGCAATAATTTTGGAGCTATCTACACATATGGGTGCCTTGATGGATATGATTTGATTGGATCACCAATTATATTTTGTCAGTCTAATGGAACTTGGACACATGGACAACCTACCTGCAGATGTAAGTTTTAAAAACTGAATACATTCGGAAACCATCGGTCCTAATTTAACATGTTCTGCTCTATTTGTACCACTCTGTAAAAGTATGGGGGTTGGATGGCTGCAAAGATTAATGCATTTGCTTTAGATCTAAAGGGCTGTCATTGACTTATAAATGGTGGAGTTTTAATTCTCCGCTTGTACGTGACAAGGAGTAGGGTCACCTGACTAACCTTGTGGGCTTTCTCTATGGTAAAAGAATGGAATTTATCATCTCGACAACACAATAATTTCTTCAGTATGAGACTGACATGTGGCCATTTTATCTATGGCGACATGTTGAATGCCAGGGAGAGTAGAGTTTTGGCCAGAGAGTGATGTTTACAAGGAGTAGAGTTGCCTGTCCAACCTCGTGGGTTTTCTCCGGGACCTCCGGTTTCCTCCCACTGCAAAAGACCCCTATGCCCAAGCGAATCATTGAAATAAAATTGAAACATTTGTTAATCTCAAAATGACCTAGTTGGTGTCGAGTGGACGTTCAACCCCATTTCTCTCTCTCTCTCTCTCTCTATTGAAAAAGTATATAATAAGACTAAAAAAAATAATCGACACACGAAATTGTTACAAAAATTAAAATATTTCTGATATATTGCATTTTAATGCAAATATAAATCCATAACAATAATGTAATTTTGATCACTTATTTTATATTTGTAGCTGTGAAATGCGCTTTGCCATCAATATTAAATGGTTATATAACTGACAATGATACAGTTGTAAATTATAATGATCAAAGAATGATAGTTTGTCACATTGGATTTGAAGTTAATGATACCTCAATTACTTGCATGGCATCAGGAACATTTGGAACTGTTCCCAATTGTAAAGGTAAGTTTCTGGAATAAAAAGGAAATGAATAAAGTGTAGAAAATGTTGATACAAACTGGTCCAGGATGAATTGCTGCCTTTTACGATTCCACATACTATTTTATGTAACCATTCACAATATCAGGATATACTTCATACACCTTTATTTCTTTTCTCAATAATTTAAAATTTTTCTAGAATTTAATTTACAGAAGAAAAAAAGTTAATATTATGAGCTAATTAACCACCCCGATGCCATCCCTGTCAGTGATATTGGCAGCCAAGCGAATATTTACTGCTGATCAATTTGGTTGCACATTTGTAGGGTGACCCATGTACTCACAGAAATACAGTCCACCGCTGATAGTTCGAGACTACCACTGAAGCGTGCACATTCGCCGTGCCGAGACCAACTTTCTGACAGTATGATACTATAAATAGCCATGGCACGTGCCAACTATTACAGCCGTAAAAAATTTATTGTTGACGATTTTGAATAGCAGTAAAATTAAGCTTCTTGGTTATTACAGCAGATTTAGAAATTACGTTCGTTTCATTTTTTAAATCGCTTTATCATTAACTGTACCGTTAAGAGCGGCATCTTTTGGTTTAGTACAAATAATATCTCTGAATCACTCGGGTTAGACAGGAACATGATACTAGCAGTAGTTTCATTTTACTTTTACAAGCTTCTTAAAACGATTGTTGAGCTACCTAACGTGCTTATTTCTAAATTCAATTTCTTGTTCTAGCTTTCTGTTATGTTTCGTAAAAAAGAAGTCTTGATTATCCCGACCTGTCAATCAGACGTAGAATGGTCGATAGACTGGTTAGGCGAGACTAATTTCAAAACAAGGGCACGTAACCTATCTTTTACTCAAAAGTGTCTGGATGTTATGGACGACTCTTGGAACCAGTTTTCAGTCTATTATTTATACATGATTAATGGTCATAGCTTATTAAGTACAACATGATCGTTTATTTAGTGACTATAATTGTGTGAAACTGATTTGAGGCTTGGCATATATATAAATATTGTGGCATAATTGTCGAGATATATGGAGATATTTATTTATGGTGGGTCACCCTAACATTTGTTTTGTTTTTCAGATAAAGATGAATGTTCAGTTAACAATGGTGGATGTATTGGAACTTGTACAAATACACATGGTTCCTTTAAGTGTTCATGTGCTGAAGGATTCACCCTGGCTGCTGATGGAAAAGGCTGTGATGGTAAGTTATACTTTATATAAATATATAATAAACCCCATACTTAAATTGGGCTCTGATAAAGCATAGCATATGGGTCTGGATCTGATCGAAATTAAATTAAAAAAGTCATAACTATGAAAACTATCTATACTTGGATTGTTATTGGCAGAGATGTGTAGCTCTTAACATAAAAGTTGAATTAAGCTACAGTTTGGTTTCTATTTACACTACTAAAAGTTTAACCAAACCTTGCTCGATCTTGGATTAAGACTAACCCAGTTATGGTCTCTACTGAGTATGGTTCATGCCATCTACGCTACTAAAATTTAGCAGTACAGTAGCCTACTGTTGCAGTTTTGAACTGGTTTCAAACACTTGGTAATCAATCTTCTTTTTCTTCTCCTTAAAAAAGAAGCCTAAGCCTCTACCAGTACAATTAATTACCATTGGTTGGCAAACTTTGATTCTGAATATGGTTTCACAATTCCATGAAAGCTACAATAACATTACTCTTGCTTCCGGGTTTAATATTTGTTGTAATGTAATAGAGGTTTATTGGTAAAATTTATATCATGAGTTGAACTCCTTAATTCATTCATTCATTCATTTATTCATTTACAGATATAGATGAATGTGCTGTTAATATGGGTGGATGTAGTGATAACTGTACTAATTCAATTGGAACTTTTTCATGCTCATGTTTTTCCGGCTATGCACTTTTTACTGATAGTGGAGTCAGTGGTTATACAATTAAACCAACAGAAACTGGTCTGATGAAAGACGATGTTCTTCGTATTAACCATACCTGTGTTCGTAAGTAGACTTATTCATTTGTGAAGTGTGTAAAACTGTTGTAACTTTGTACTGCCTTAACCAAACACATTTCATTAGGGATTAATTTGTTTCTGTTTGAGGCTATTTGATATGTGGAAAATAATGACATAATTAATGAGTTAACATTTTAATTATCACAAGGACAAGTTCAAATTCCCTCTGTGTTGCCATAGTTTTAATAATAACATACAAAAGCTTGTGAAGATGTGTTTAGCTACATGTATACTTGGAGGCAAAATGAAATAAAATGGGGTTTAATTCTCTACACCAACTGGGCTAATGAAGAAAAGGCCATATGTCATGCAGTATTTTATGAGGGAAATTGTTTCTAGAGTATCGCTACAGCTTACACTTATTTCAATTTACAACTGTCAGGGGATCTGTAATATTCTGCCAAAAGGACCTCAAAATACTAGACATTTTTACTAGTCAAGTAATCCGTCCTGCACCACTGATCTGAGAAATTTAGGCTGGTATATCTCAATGAATTTTTTGGCCAGGGACCTCCCAGTAAAAAATAGTGTTTAATCAGTTGATATTGATATACCGAATAAGGGAGGCTTCATTCTGTTGTCATTCCTTTCAGAGATTGAAGTTAAAACTACTAAAGACCAGTTTGGGAAAGCATCAGTAAAACAGTTAAGCTGTATTATAGACACCTTATAACTCAGATTATAAACCTGCTATGTTTGTCTTATCAGTTTTGTTTGTGTGTAGTGCAGTCCTCCTGCACTTAGTATTATTACTTATAAGAATTTCTGATGACAAAGTGTAGATATATATATATACAGATTATTATTGTCTATTTCAGGTGTGCAATGTCCCAACCCAGCTGTAAATGCTAACAGTATGTTGTTAAGTAAGAATAGTATATTTAGATATGAAGATAAAGCCATCTATTCCTGTAATATAGGATATGCACAAGAAATTATCACACCAAATGGTACTATTATCTATAAGAGTGACAAAGAGATTACATGTACCGCAAATGGTACCTGGAGTGATATGCCTCCGATTTGCTCAGGTAAATATTAAACAAATTTTCAAAATTTAAGTCTTATTTGTTTGGAGGATAGGTCAGAGATTTTAAATGTTGTCTTTCTCTTCACGGACATGGCATGTAGTTAAATTGATTACAAAATTGACTTTAGTTACTTACAAAGTAACTTATCAGATGTACTCCAATTATTTACCAAATTGACTTTAATTACTTTCCAAACTGACTTTAATTACTTACCAAAATGATTACCAAATTCTATATTTTGTAGCAAGAGAATGTGAGGCAATGCATCCTGCTCTTAGAAATGAGCCAGCGTTTGAACCTGCCAATAAAACAGTGAGATATGGAGAGAAATTAAAAATGACATGTACTTATAAAGATGGAACAACCAAAACAAGATATCGAACATGTATATATAACCAAGGAGGATCTAATTCATACAGTCTTGAAGGAGATGACTATGAGTGTGGAGGTTTGTTGATATATTTTTAAGATTAGACAGATAACCATAAATGCATATTAAAGGTGGTTGAATTCTTTAAAATATTTGTTAGTTTAATTCATTATTGTTGTTAATATAATCATTTCAATAACATTATCAGTTTTACAATATATAATTGATATCATTATTAAATTGATATTAGTTTTATATTAAATTGATAGCAGTGTTGTCAAATATAATTGATATCATTATTAAATTGATATTAGTGTTATATTAGAGTTATCATATTAAATTGATATCATTATTAAATTTATATTAGTGTTATTATATCAGAGTTATCATATTAAATTAATATCAGTGTTATCACACAACATTAAATTTAACAGTGTTATAATAAATTGATAACAGTGGTACCATATTAAATTGATATTGGTATTATCATATTAAATTGATATCAGTGTTATCATTTTAAATTGGTATTATATAGTGTTATATTTAATGAATGTGACCAAAATATCACAATACATTTGTTTACAATTACAGTCATTGATTGTGGAACACCACCAAATATACCAGGGGCTATCTACACAGGGTATACAGCTTCTCCAAACTCATCATTTGGAGCAACATTCCCATTTGAATGTGATACTTTGTACACCCTAGTTACTACCCAGACTAATAAACAGATTCAATGTGGTGCAGATGGTAAATGGGATGCTGGAGATCTCCGTTGTGAAGGTAATTACAAGTCAACAAAACATCAAT